CCTTCATAGTGGATACACAATGAAAACATAAATAAAATTTTTGTGTGAAATTAGTTTCTTAAATAATTATTTAACATGAAATTAGTGCATTTTCCCCGCATTAGTTTGAAAACATTATGTTGCAAATAAATACAAATATGATAAAAAGAGATAAACAACTATTTCAAACACCAATTACATGGAATTAAAATGAAGAATGACATTAAAATAAAGAACTAATGGGTCACTTATAAATCATAGCAGTATTATTTGCTCAAAGTAAAAATAAAAAATAACAATATATAATTTTATAAATTAAAGTGTAGAAGTAATTAATAACTTATAAAATAATATAAGTTAAATATCAAATTGTTATTATGAAAATAAAATAAAATTTCAATAATCGCTCAACCTCTCTCTGCAATTCGCCGCCGATAGCCTTCCCCGGCGACGGCGGGTCTCGGCCAGCGGTCGCCTCTGACCGCTCGTCCCGCCTCGGTCGTCGTGTGCCTTGAATCGCTGCGACTCTGATGGGTCGCTACCCTCCATTTGATGGCGATGTGGAGTCTCGTGGAGCCGCTTCTCTGGTCGGAGGCTTGTCGGCGAGGGGTGGGGCTTTCTCAGCCTCCGGCGGCCCTTCAATCGGTGATGGTAAGCACTTCTCCCTCTCTGCTCTGCTGGCTTTGGAGTCACTGTTGGTGGGTGCCGTTCTTCTCAGCGGAGCTTCCAGCGGGTGGTGGTTGGCCGGAGTTTTGCGGTGGTGCTCGGCGGTGTGTGGGTCCGAGGATGGGGGAGACCACCGACTGCTGCATCGTGGCGATCGGGGTGGATGACCCGTACCACCTACCCCCGCCCCGTTTCGGCTAGTGGTGTTAGGTGGAGGGGGGCTGGAATCCTAACTTTCTTGAACTCAGCTAGTGGTGTTAGACGGGTTCGGGAGGTGAGGGTCGGGTTTGGTTGGTCAGGGTTCATTCGGTTGGTGGTGGATCGATTCGGGGATTGGTTTCGGTTTCGGCTTCGGCTACTGTATAGGCGGTTGTGCAGTTTCGGTAGTCGCTTCTCGGGCTGGGACTTTTCTTGTGTCGGTTGTCCACTGTTGGTTCGGGCTAGCTTGTTCGTTGGGGAAGGGCTGTTAGGTTTATTTTAGTTTATTTTTGTTGTTGTCGTTTTAGTTTATCTTAGTAGGTTTGTTCTTTTGTTATTGTTATTGTTTTGTTTGTGTGTTTTTGGTTTGGGCCGTTGGCCTCTGTGCGCCCGAGTGTCAAATTTATTACTCCGTGGGGGTCAGACACTCGGGTATTACTCCGTTGGGGGTCTTGTTTAGTTTTGTTGGTGTAGTTGGTTTAGTGTGGTTGTGTTTTTTGTTGTTTTAGTGTGTGTTGCCCGAGTATTACCCCGTTGGGGTCGGCTCTAGGCGATCTCTGGATCTGCCTCCCAGTTTTCTAGTCTCTGGTTGTACTATTCAGCCTTTGGCTGCTTTTCTTCGCACTTTGTGCGGTTTATTAATATAGTACCTCTATCGTTTTGAAAAAAAAAAATAAAATAAAATAAAATTTTATTTAATAATACATCATTTTAATTATGGTATTACAATTTGTGCGATGTATGGGTGGATAAGTTAGTATTAATTAAGAGTTTCACAAGCCTTTTGCACTTTAGTCGTTTATTTCTCATCCGCATGTGTTTCGGTTGACACAAAAGCAAGTGAACTATTTTTGTAAGGAATTTTTCCACCCAAAATTTGTCAGAGAAAATTAGAAAGTTAACAAAATGTTAAGCCATTAAAAATTACGAAGTAATTAATAACTTATAAAATAATATAAGTTAAAAATGAAGTTGTTATTATAAATATATAATAAAATATTATTTAACAATATTTTATTTTGATTATTAATAAAATGTTATATAAAAGTTACGAAGTAATTAATAACTTATAAAATAATATAAGTTAAAAATCATATTGTTATTATGAAAATGTAATAAAATATTATGTAATAATATATTATTTTAATTATTTACTACAATTTGTGCATTTCGTAATTTCTTTTATAATATAAATGCTTAACTTTATTTTTTTAGTTAATTAAATACATAAACATTTATTATAAGCTCTAATATTATTAATTATTATTCCCCAAATACATTAAACTCGTTTTCGATATACTATATTCTTGGGTTAATTAATATATAATCAAAATATTAGTCTTTTATAATTTTTATCTTACATAATGAAAATAAGTAGCATAATATAATTTATAATTCAAACTGAATTAATGAGAAAATTAATCAATATAAGCTAGCTTTTTATCGGGATTTAACAAAATTATTTTTAGATTTGGAAAATATCTAAACAAGTAAATTGTGGAAATATAAGGTTCACATCCAAATCAAAAACTAATTTGCATCTATTAACCAAAATAAAATATCTACTAAACCAAAAATGAAAAAAAAAAACACAAAATATAAAATGAAAACAAACATACATATATGTAATGATTTCATTATTTTACAAACCATTAATGTCCTTATATTTTAAAATGTTATGACTAATTAATTTAGTCAAATAGTTGTCTTCTATGGATGATTAAATTACAATATAACATTATACAAAAATTATTTTACATTTATATTCAAGCAAATAATTTTGTAATGCAATAGACATGTGCAACAGATCTATGACCTTTAATTATTTTTAGTATTCATAATGTTTCAAGTTTATGTTTCATATTTTATGTACTTAATTTGGCCAATCTACATGAAAAAATCCATAGTTATATAAAATTATTTTTCGAACACAAGACATTAAAAATTAAACTAAATTTACGTAATAATTTATGTATGTTATATAAATATATTTATATAGATACATATATAAAAAAAAAAGTAAGATAATAGAATGAGTAAAATTATTATTTACTCCAAATAAATCTTATATGAAATATGGTGACTTATTATTGAACTCTCATAGTGGGTAACACAATGAAAAGATAAATAAAAAATGTGTGTGAAGTTATTTTCTTAAAAAATTATTTAACATGAAATACCACATGTTAGTTCATTTTTCCCACATTAGTTTGAAAAACATTATGTTGAAAAAATAGAAATATGAAAAAGGAGATCAACAACTATTTCAAACACCAATTACATGACATTACAATGAAGAACTAATAGGTTGCTTAATAAATCATAAGCGTATTATATAAGTTGACATCCAAAACCCGAACTAATAAAAAAATTGCATTCACTAACCAAAATAAAATATCCACTAAACTAAAAATGGAAAAAAATTACCCAAAATATAACATGAAAAGAAATGTTTATATAATTAAGGAACAATTACTACTCTCTCATTAAATGGACTCTTTTAACAAATGAGAATTAAGCCATTAAAAAATTAAAAGAGTAAGGGTAATGTGACCTATCCAATTTTTTACAAAAACATTCACACTTTTAAGTTAGTAGAGATAGAGATAGAGATAGAGATTAATTTTAACTAATCTTAGTTAACCAGAAAAACTTGTTCAAAACGGATATATTTATATCCAACACACCCTATCAACCTATACCCAACATTCTTCTTAGGCCTAGCGGATATATTTATATCCAACACAGCCCTATCGACCCATACCTAACATTCTTCTTAGGCCTAACTTTTGTGACAACTATAAATATCACCATTGAAAAGAAAAATCAAGTAAGAACACTTGTTCCAACTTCAAAGACCCCATCATATGTACGGTCATATATACGGGTTAGTTCCCTGAATCGACAGTTCTAGGCCGACCCAATTTATTAAAATATAATTACAAAAAAAAAGGCGAAAAAAAAAAAAGATGAATTGCCGATTTCGGTTTTGTGTATGATTGAACCGGAAGCAAAAACCTGGCCCGGCCCATGTCTAATTGTTATAGAAACTATTTTCTTTCTTTTCCCACTCTTTAAGCTGCTAAAACGTTTACTTAAACCATTTTTGCTCGTGTGGTGGTTGGGATTGTGCTATCAAAGGTTGTACACCGTCTCAATCAAAAGGCAGCCCAGCTGTAGCTCAAAGGGAATAACACAAAATCTGCTTTAGTCCTCACTTTTGATGATTTGATCTATATCCAGCACGTCAAATTTGACCCTACTTAAAAAATTAGCTCTTTCCTTATAATTTACTTTTTCAAAGTAAAATAATAATAATATCATCTAGCACTAGATTGAGCCTCCTGCTAACTTACCTAGTGTGATTTTTCAAGACGGCATCATTCACCAGCCAACAACCCANAAAAAAAAAAAATAAATAAATAAAAAATAAAATAAAATACTACAATAACAATGATACTTGTGTAGGTCAATGGCCATAATTAAAAGGAAATAATTAAAGATGGAAGAAGAGAGATAAGTTACTACTAGTCTTTGTTTATTACTATATTCTATAGTTCGTTGTAGTCCAACACACAGCTACAGAGAAGGTACAATGTAACAAGCAAAGGCTACTCACATTAATAAGTTCACATGTACTTTCACCCACCATATGCACCTATATATTGTTGCAACTTGCAAATAGTATGATTCATAGTTTGATACCAAAACACTCTTGATCAAATCTTCATTTCCTTCTGTTGGCTGGTGTGGACTTTTTTTCTCTATACACAGCTAGATTGACTTTTTACTTGTATATGCTAGTCAAACTTTCTGCATGACAGTACAAAAAATTAAACCATCAAAATGGGAAGAATTTAGCAAGCAGCAGTTATACTTATAACATGGGGTTATTTTATTGCAAGGAACAAAAGTCATCATTTCATTTACGAAAACACCCATCTTTTATCAACAATTACAAAGTTCAGCCTTGAAATTTTTTCTCCTTCAAAAATTACACCACCAATAGGGATCACTCTTTAAGACAACACAAAAACAGTAACAGGGTATATATAAGTTGTAAAGATAACTTAGGTTTACTGTAGTTGGTTCAAACCCAGAAGGAAGATTTTATAAATATTCAGAGTAAATGTTTACAGATTAGTACTCTTACCAAGCTAAGCTAATCCCTGCTCGCTAACCACAATCAGCGTTAAATACCTACATTTCAATGGCTTCAAGCCCAGAAGACAAGATGGAAATAATTAACACATATATAGAACTTATTTGCAGATAAAAACAAGTACTGAAAATACCTTGCAGTTTCAGAGTAAAACAGAGAAGCCATTCTGTGGGGAGAGCTGTTAGGTAATTTATTTGTCACAGTTATATTGTTACTGGCAGCAATTGAGAAAGCAGATTGTTGCTCTGTGGCTGATTTTGTAGGAGACGATAAAAGGTTCTCAGGTAGGATATGCTCCAAACTGCTTTTCATATCAAATGCAAGAAATACAATCAAAGGCAGAAATCAGTATTGAACCGGGTACAGTTACACATATTTAGACATGAGATTAATATAAGAGCATCCTTAAAAGATGTACAATATTATTTTACTACCCTTTGCAGGAAAAAACAGTTATGTTCTTTCTAACACACATGCTTTTGATAGTAACTTAATTGGTTTGCATTTATGTCAAGGATAACAGATGAACAAAAAACAAAAGAATTAACATATTGTTACACCCCTAAGTGAGCTGTCGGCTGGGCACGATGGAGAGAGTACACTGTAAGTACCTTTCAGGAGGATACGAGTCATCATCATTCACATGCTGGTGCTTCTTGCTATTAAGAATGTAAGTGATAATGGATGATTCAGTTTCTTCAGCACCCAACTTCTCGTCATCATCTGCAAAAGCTGGAGATTTTGATGCTCCTAAGCCACCATCAAGTTCTTCAGCAATTAAAAACAAAACTATATTTAGTTTTAAAGGAGAGATAA